CTTCTGAAGTCATCTTCTATTACATCATTTAGAATAAAGATATACAGTTATAATAAATTTTATAGTGAACTTTAATAACTAACTAGATAGATACCATATTACTGTTATAAAAATGACTAATACCAAATAACAAATTACAAGAAACACTTTGTCCACTTGTCCATGCAGTACGAACATTTAGATAATCATCAATTTTATAATAGACTTTATTCATAAGAGTATTCTTGCAATACTACAACCCAAAAATGAACCTCTTGATTTTTGGAGTCTGAAATATGGAACGGCAAAGCTTGTTCTTAAATCTCGTGTTAAAGTTGGCACACACAAGTGGTACTCGTAATCTGCTATCACCTCATCATAAGCCTTATTATACTCCCTCTTCTGGGGTCCTTTTCCCTATAAATGGAATGGAAAAGACAAGACAGGCAGAGTACAGGGACAGAGAAGAAATCTCCACCTTACAGAAGATAACAGTAAAATAACACTTACCTTTTGGTGGTGTTGTGTTTCTGTCGATAAGTAAGGTTCCAGGTAGGGTTACCATCCGTCCAGATTTGTCCGGATATGTCCGGAGTTTTTTACTTTTGTCCGGGCTTTGTCCGGCTTTTTTATTTGTCCGGATTTTTTTAATTAGATGGAATATGATTAATTCTACTTATTAAGTTATGTCAAATAAGGCAAATAATCTTTATTAAGTTCTCATTAATTTAAAACAAGCCCTCGCGATGCGAGCGTCTGCTACCACGTGTAATCACTGTAACTAAGTAATAATTATAAGTATTTGTTTGCTTCAAAAAATACATATATGTACAAATACAAAAACTTAAAATCTGACATACCAACTTTTTGGAAACAAAAAGGGAATGTGACTCAGCCTTAGACTCGCCGTTTTATCGGAAACCGCTGATATTCTGCCACAACCTTATTTAACTAATACATGCTCCATTTTGTGATACCAACAAGTAAAACTTTGAAAATCGATTAAAAAATGAATACATCCATTATTAAATATCTGAATTAAATACAGTTTTGGCCGCAGTATACTGTTTGTCTAATAACCACAATTTACATTTACTTTTAAAATTATATATTGACATTGAAATGTTAGTCCGCAAATGTGGTGGGAGATCATTCCATATTTTTAATGCGGCATATACAAAGCAAATATAAAAGTGGGTGATGTTTTCATTTTGTGACTAAAATGTCCGAACTATTATCGAAATGTCCGGACTTTTCAAATTTTTAAACAGTAACCCTATTTCCAGGGCTCCACGGGGAACGGGTAGGCAGTCTATGGTGGCGCCGCTTACCATCAGGCGAGTCATACGCTTGTTTGCCTCTGTTTTAACATAAAATTGAATGAAAATATAGAAGAAGCATCGCGTGGACAATAAATAACTAAAAACTCATTAAGGAACTAAATGAAACAGTTTCGGAACTAGTGTAAATGCGTTTTTACTACTTTTTTTTTGAGTAATTTTGACTTATCTTTTAAGCAATGCTATTCTGTAAAATTTTCACGCACGGATCCGATGTGGATCCACGTGGATTAATATCTGAACCGCGCGGATCCACATCGCAACCGCGCGGATTTACATCGGATCCGCGAGTGAAAATTTAACAGAACAGCACTGCAGAAAGCGTCGGTTGCTTTCGCCAAACTTTTATTGAACATTCTACTTAATTACCCGTTTATAACCTGTTTTGCTTAATAAGTCGCGTACGTGAAAACTTAAGAAGCAAATATCATTTAGGAACTACTATTTAGTAAACTACGAGTGCTTTGTTGGCTACATAAAACATCCAAAAACAGTAAACAAACAATTAGACACATATATGTGAGCAAAGCAGATGCAAAAACAGCTATTTAAAGTCTCGATTCACTGCAGAGTCTCATATATGGCTTAACTACCTTAACAGCTTAATAGCATATAAGTAATGTGCATAAATAGATTCGTAGATACGAAATTGCAATTTGCGTATAAAAACTATGCTAAATATTTTTGAAAAATGTTGCTTTTCGGGCTTATAGCGGACGGAAGCTAGGTGAACATTTTGTAAGTTTTTTCCGTCACAACCTAGCGAGGCAGCTGGGTGGGTCGCACACGGACCACACGCCACAGCCACAAACGCCGCCACGAGAAGCTAGAAGCGGCTACTAAAGTGGCTGAAGCGCGCGACAGCGGCCGACTAAGGTAACGGAGAGAGGGGTGGGGAATCGCGCGAGTGACGTGTGGCGGGTTTTGTATCGGCGCATTAAGTGGCAGCAAGCAACGACGATTTGAAGCGTATGGCGGCCACCGGCGTACCGTGTGTGGCGAGTCCATATAAAATGTATGAAAACTACAAGAAATATGCCGGTGGTGGCGTTTGTGGTTTTGGTCGGTGACCCGTGTGCGGCGACACATAGGATGCGAGGACTTTAGGAAGGTGGGAACACGTAAACGGACAAAACCTACGTGAAGGTGGTTGCATGGGAATCAATTTTTATCTTTATAATTATTTTATAACTTTTCAAGTATGCTGGATTCGACTTTCTTTCTTCAAGATATCCTTGTAACCATATTAGTTGAAGCGATACTCAATGAGGCGTCCCGCGATGACATAACTTTTTGTCTTACCACGCCCACCGGTTAAAAAAGATTGATGTGAAATGCCTGACTGATCACACGTGAGCGTGGCCTCATTGGAAAAATATTATTAAACCATTCTTAAATTTTAAAGTAGAAGCGAGCGAAATATATATAACGCACCAACTTCCAAAGTTCGGTTTTAGTTTATTTTCAGTACCGCAAGTCAACACGTCATAAGTCAATAATGTTACAAGCACTCACACTGAAGTACTGGAATGATGTAGTGCCCGGGTTGCGGCGTCCGCCATCTCGTTACCAGGCATAGCATTGCAGCTGCATGGACACACACACGCACACACACACACACACACACACACTTAATAAAGTTATCATGTGAAAAATTTTGAAACCCCTTTTATATGGATATTCAGTGTTTGTTTTTCTTCTTTTTTTTCTTTTTGTTATGTTTTGTCCAATCTTAATTTTATTTTATTATTTATGTTAGTGAATTATATGATTTTAAATATAAAAAAATACGGATCTGTCAACGTTCATGCTTGGGGTACAGTACCCTTAGCACGAACCATTATCGAATTCGAATAGTTTGCAAACCGAAATGTCAATGTCAAATTTTGTATGGAAACTTGAACAGCAGCGGCATAACGTACGTAACGAGAACTAAAAATCAGTACTAATTTGGCAATTACATTTCATACTCGCAAACGATACAAATTCAATATCGGTTCGTGCTAAGGGTCCAGTTCAGCTAAGTTTAATTCCTATACCGATCCTTTTTAAATCACCAATCTATCACCAATCCTGTATTAAATATTGTCCCGATCTCATTTCAGTCTAATCTCTTATCTATTAGACAAGTCCGTCCATCCGTCTGTGGTGCTGTTTCAGCGGCCAAACCGTAAGAGATAGATAAAGAGAATATTTAAGTTATAAGTTAAGAATAGTCTGATAAGACTACAAACCGGATTTGAGTAACGTAGCACTTCCGGTTTTCGAGAAATCACGAATTTCAAACGAAACCACACAAAACTCCGAAGTTCTCAATTAAATAAATACATTTTTTATAAATCAGGTTTTGGTGAACATTTGGTTCACTGGTTTGCTAGTTTAGTCTAAATTGAGTCATCCAATTTCCAATTCTAATCTTATTTTATTTCTCGAATTTCTAAGATGTAGGTCCCTAGTTTAGATCATCATCATCATCAGCATATTAATGTCCCCACTGCTGGGGCACAGGCCTTCCCTATGGATAGAATGGGGAGATAGGGCTATGACCCTCCACGCTGTCGCAGTGCGGATTGGCGGGTGCTAACGACTGCAGATGCAGCCAGGACCAACGGCTTAACGTGCCATCCGAAGCACGGAGGAGCTCGAGATAGTAAATTTTTGGTCACCCATCCAATGACCGACCACTGCGAAAGTTGCTTTAACTTCAACGATCGCAGCCGAACGCGCTAACCACTTGCGTCATCGAGCTCCCCATTTTGGATCGCGTTTGATTTAATTACAGCGCGCTTAGAAAGCGAGGTTATTTTAACGCTTTCATTGTTTTTATTAATGTATAAAACTGTGTGCTATATTTCCACAACAAATACAATAAATTTGGGAATGACAAAAGTCAGAGCATTAAAAGAATAGGTACAGAACAGCGCAGACATAAAATGGAACATAAACAACTCGTTACTAATGCTTCATTTAATAATAACTTAACAAAAAATATACATCTATCCGACAAATGGCTCCACCCCACTTGATGTTAAGTGAAGGTGAAGTCCAGACGTGAAGATAGCTGGTACAGCAGCCACTTCTACCTGCCACACCAGCCATCCTCACCCTGCCGGCCTGCATGTTGCTTCTTCACACCTCTTTTAAAGGATCCCAGGTTGTAAGGAGGGATATGTATATATTAATATATAGGCAAGGTGAAGATAAAGAAGGTGGAAATTAATTGCTTAATAGCTAAAATTAACATTATTTATAAGAATATATAAAAAATGGTCAAATATCACCCCATACCGTTTCTGGCGCAAAGGTTCCCAAAATATATATTACATAAATTATATATTAAATAAATAGAAGAACATATTACGTTTTATTATAACGTTTTATTAACACACATTATACTTGGTCTTCTGTAAGGTGGAGGCAGTGGCGGATTTTGGAATCTATGGCCCGGGGCCATTAACGATTTTATTTTCTCATTATCTTTATTTATAAAATACGATTTTGAAGTTTCTCAGGTAATTCAAAATTCACAGTGTATAGCTAATACGAATATTTATAATACAAAGGTGGACTACTTCACCAGATGGACACTCTCTTCTTCTTCTTCTTCGTCTTTAGCTTTTTAAATATATTACTGCATCCTACAATCGGCTGTGTGGTAGGTATCTAGGTAGGTATCACAAGTTCCCTTACTTTGACTCCATCCGTTGATCTTCTATACGTCCGGGAAACACAGTTTCATGCACGAATCTACCAGAAGTTATTCTTCAACTTAAAAGGCAAATTCTAGGAACGTCGAATGCAGTCAAATTAAAATAAATTTTACTATTTCTGACCTACTTAATGTTGTCAGTCAAGCTTAGTAATTAGCGTATTAAGAAGACGAAATCAAACATTCATATTCTTTTCATCAGAAGACGTTAGTGGCACTGCTTGCGTTACATCTATCTTTTCTAAATGAATTTTAGCTTTCCCTCTGAACTCTTCCTCAACGTCATGCAGAGTCCTATCTTTAGTCTCAGGAAGCATAAACCAAACCACGGTTGTACAGTAAAATGACACTGACGCGTACAAAAAGTACGTTCCATGAATACCTATAGTGCTAAGCAAGAACATAGCTGTCTTGCTTGTTATAAAGTAGTTGACAGAAAACGCTAAAGAACTGATACCACCAGCCAAACTCCTGAGCTCCAAGGGAAAGATTTCTCCTGATATCACCACTGGTAGCGGCAAAGAACCGGTCGTAATAGTACACATATGGATGTGGAGTAACACCAGACCGATAGCTGGATGATCGAAAGGAAGAACATTCTTAGATTTAGCCAAAGTATACAAAGCTATAACAACTAATATCGCAATGTTAGCACCAACTGTCGTGAACAAAATACGTCTTCTCTTCACTATTTTAACAGCGTACAACGCGACAAAAGTCGAAAGCATTCTTTGAACGTCAATGATGGTCAAATGCATGGCCACATCAATGTCATCACCTACTAGTAAGCGAATAAGATGTACCGTAAACACTATCAAGAAACACATGCCGGTCCACATACTGATCGTGTGCAAATGCAGCATTATTATGACAGGCTTATAGAATTCCTTCTTCTTGAAAGCTTTTATGAGATAGGTGAATTTCTTGTTGTTTTCATTTGGATCGTGTCGTGTTTTGCGGGCTTCAAGCATTTTTTCCAGTTCTTCCTCTTCCATGTCGCCTCTTAGCCAGTGAAAGGCTCTTCTGCTATCTTCATACCTCTTCTTATCAGCTAACCAACTTGGGGACTCTGGTGATAATATCAGTATAGCAAAACTGGTGACGCAAACGAACGCGCAGACTAGAGCTGTGGTATGCCAGGTCAAATAAGATCCCATGACGTGCACAGAAAGAGTGCCAGTTGTTATCGATGTTGTCATGATTGCGGAGAAAATGCCGCGATGCTTTGGGCTGGTAAGTTCACCGATCATGATTGGAGATAGAGATAAGTTAATTCCCAAAGAGAAGCCTTGGAAGAACCTGGCAATAAGCAAGAGAGTGATATTGGTGGCGATAGAGATCTGGAGCCAGCACGCAATGAGGATGAAGCAGCTGAAGAGGCTCGCACGTCTTCTTCCGAACTTCCCCATTATGGTAGGCACCGCGAGGTTTCCGAGAACGAGGGAGATGCCCACGATTGACGCTGAAATGTAATAATAAACATTGATCAAATCCTTGTTGATTCATTTAGTATCTTGTTTGCAGGAATTGGAACAAAAGCCTTACAAATTAATTATATTCCAAGACAATAATTTAGGCACAGTGGGTATTAGTACCATATCCGCTAGCTAAAACCATATATTGATAATGTTATTATTAGACACGATTCAGTATTTATTTTGCTTGCGATTCAGAAAGAAAAACTACCTGTCTAAGGAACTCTCTTAAATATTTAGGATGTGAAACGTCCAGTAAAGCGCCTGCCGGAATTCAGCATCTTACAGTAGATTAGGTCAAATAACATTTCTAAAGAATATAGCGGATTTCAGATTCTGAAGATCTCAGTAAAATAACACTACCTTTTGGTAGCGTCGACTATCTATCGATGAGTCCAGCTATCTATCCAGGGCTTGACGGAGCAGGCAATGAGGTCAGAGAGAGTAAACGACGCGACAGTAATACGCTGTTATCACAGGCGTCTACGGACTATAGATGGCCGCTTATTATCAATAAGAAGGACATATGCATTTTCGCCACTTGTTTATATTATAAATCATTTCGCTGTAGTGTTCTTGCATTAAGTAAGAGCTCCATTTAATCTATATAAAGCTAGCTAAAATTAATCATTATTATTAAGCTAGAAGATTTTGTTTGGTTGAACGCGCTGATCTCGGGAACTACTAGTCCGCTCTGAAAAAATATTTTTTGTGTCGGATAGTGTATTTTTGAGGAATGCGGAAGTGCTCCACCATTGAGAAATGGTCCAAAAACGGGAATAAATGTTATATTTGAGAGTTTCCGTTGCGTACGCTGCTTAAATACAAACGCTGAAAATTACACAAAAATCATGTATGACGAAATTGTTATCCTCTAAAAGATCTACCCACCAAAAAGTCCTCAGCAGCATATGTCTATCCTTTAAGCACGGTCTTTAAGTGTCGCCGCACACGGGCCACACGCCACAGCCACAAACGCCGCCACGAGAAGCTAGAAGCGACTACTAAAGTGGCTGAGGCGCGCGACAGCGGCCAACTAAGGTAAGAGAGAGAGAGGTGGGGAATCGCGCGAGTGACGTGTGGCGGGTTTGTATCGGCGCATAAGTGGCCGGTGCGGGCCACAAGAAGCGAGCTACGACGATTTGTAGAGTGTGGCGGCCACCGGCGTACCGTGGGTGGCAAGTCCATATAAAATATATGAAAACTACAAGAAACATGCCGGTAGCGGCGTATTGTGGTTGTGGTCGGTGGCCCGTGTGCGGCGACACTAAAGGTACTTACTATAACCTTTTCCCTCAAATTAATGCGGGTGAAACTCACAGGACACCTCTATAAGGTAATAAGATTTTAGCAATATGAGCACATGTGAGACGTTGCTTCTCTTTGCACTACATCAGCAATCATCACACCTATATGTTCCACACAACACACAATTTTGCAAGTATTCTTTAAAGAAGGATCTCGATGGCGCAAGTGGTGAGCACGTTCGGCTGCGATCGTCGAAGTAAAGGGTGACCAAAATTTCACTATCTGGAGCTCCTTCGTGCTTAGGAAATCACGTTAAGCCGTTGGTTCCGGCTGCATCTGCTGTCGTTAGTTCCCGCCAATCTGCGTAGTGGGTCACGGCCCAGTCTCCCTATTCCATCCATAGGGAAGGCCTGTACCCCAGCAGGACATAATTAGGCTGATTGTGATGTTTTTGCATTAAATAAGAGCTCCATTTAATACGGTAATAAGATTTCAGCCAGCAATATGAGTTGTTGCTTCTCTTTGAAATGTTTTTTTCTAGCGTTCTGAGGAGTTATTCTTCCTTATCCCTCCATCACCTTTTCTTCAGAGGACCACGCGCGCTGACCTACGTTGCCACCGACTTACTGTGGCCACTATTCCTAACCGAACAAAAAAATTTGGTGACTCATTTCTTTGTCGTACTATTCGTGAGTGGAATTCTTTACCCGCGCAAGTGTTCCCTCCTTCCTAAAATCTGGGGTCCTTTAAGAGAGGCGTGAAGAAGCGTTTTTGCAGGCCGGCAAGGTGAGAATGATTGGTGTAGCAGTTTATAACTGCTGTACCAACTATCTTCGCCTTTGGACTTTATAACCACTTAACATCAGGTGGGGTAGAGTCATTTGCCTACGTCTATATATATAAAAAACTATTACCTATCCACGATGCAGAGGCAGTGTCCACACTGATGTCAGAGTCGGGAGCTTGCAGCTGTGGCAGCAAGATCGCGTTGAAGCCCATCACTGTGCCGAAGTTGGCCATGTTCAGGGACACTCCCGCTACCACGAAGCACTGAAACATGAGCAATAAGCAGTCTTTAGGACCCGTGTGCAAATACCAAACTCTGCCACTATCTAACATCAGGTGGCGTAGAGTAGTGCCATGTGCTCATTAAGCGAAAGAGGTGTGAAGGAAGGCGGCCACCTTATAACAAAACGTAGATTAAAGTTTAAGCTGGACTAAAACTCATGCTGTAACTTTTGTTTGCTAAAAAGACGATAGAGACAACATTAGGTTTGAAACCAGGACTAACTTAAGTTTGGAATAATGAGGTAGACGTCATCTTAGCGCGAGAGAATCTCGACGACTCCACATTGAAGATAATAATAAAGAGGAAATACTTTCGCTGTTAACTTTGTAAAATGTTAACTTATAGTGTACTTATTACAGTTAAACATAAATTAAAGATAAGCTTGCAGAACAGAAAATAAGCGCACGCAAAAGCATGTATCATCCACTCCGCGGAGAGCAGTTTCACACCCACCATCTGCACGCATGTCGTTCTACCACTATGCGTTATGCGCATTCATTTTTCTTGCTTACCAGCAAGATCTGGAACGATCTTCCATCAGCGGTTTTCTGTCTAAGCTGTGATATGACGGTCTCTAAAAGGCGGGTAAAGCTTTTCCTTCAGAACCGACAACGCAGGATCCTTGGTGCTGCTGGTGTCAATGGGCGACAGTTTATTTTATAGATGGGTCCGACAAATGACTCCACCCCTCCTGATGTTAAGTGAAGGTGATGCGACGCGAAGATAGCTGATACAGCAGTTCTACCAGCCACACCAGCCATCCTCACCCTGCCGGCCTGCATGTTGCTTCTTCACGCCTCTTTTAAAGGATCCCAGGTTGTAAAAGGAGGGAACACGTGAGCGGGCACAGCATTCTATTTACGGATAGTGCGACAAAGAAATGAGTCACCAGATTTCTTTGTAGGCGTTGAGTACGAAAGTAGAGTATTTGACAAGGTAGGTAGATATCCGTAATTTTGTAACGCGTCGCAAGATCTGGATAGCAGAACGAAGTCGGTCTTAGGGTCGATAGCAAAAGATCGCTGATTCGAGTCTGAGGCCGTATAGAGAAACAAAAATGGAAGCCGACCAGAGCTTGTCGACGCTTGTCAGCGCTGGTCCTTACCGGTAACCGGCGCAAGCATTTCTATGGACCAGCGCCGATAAGCGCCGACAAGCGCCGACAAGCGCCGACACGCGCTGACAAGCGCTGGTCGTTAAGTTGAAACATTACTTCAGAAATACGTCTGAAGTCACTTTCCATTACATCATCTATAATATAAATATGTAGTTACAATTAATTTTATAGTTAACATTTTAAGTAGTATATAGGAAGCGGCATTAGATAGGTACAATATTACTGTTATGAAAACTGAATAATACCCATTTAATTTCAAATTATAAGAAACACTATGTCCATGCATTACGATCATTTAGATAATCATCAACTTTATAATAGCCCTTATTCATAAGAGTATTTTTGATCTGATATTTAAATTTAGTCAGTGGAAGCTCAATCAGATCTTGGGGAACTTTGTTAAACAATGCAATACTACAACCCAGAAATGAACCTCTTGATTTTTGGAGTCTGAAACATGGAACGGCAAGCTTATTCTCAAATCTCGTGTTAAAGTTATGGGTTTGACTTTTTTGAAGTTATACTTCTTTAGGCGCGTTATGAAAAAATGATGAGAGTGAAATTTTTAGATGCGCGCGCATCACTGTAACCCAAAAGTAACAGCATGAAGTTGGCCGCGGGCGCGTTATGAATGTTAGTGTCTAATAATGGTGGATTATTAACCACTCAGCGGTTAATAATCTACCATTATTAGACATCTGTTCGAAAGGTACTTTGAACGATCCACGGAGCTCCATAAGATGATCGCGTTGTCAAAAACAATGTTGTCACGCTCGTCGCCTCTGATCACTGTTTTCATATTTATAATATTTATCCACATGTTTCTAGTTTCTATATAGACACAACGTGTTTTAGTTACTTACAAGTGCTAATTACATATGGACTAATAACTTAAATTCAGTAGTGATTTTAATTGAATATTTTGAATATTTATTTAATTTTTCAAATTAAAACTGAACTTAATTGGCTGTGTTAACTATCCTTTTCCAGTCCTTTTATTATTTTATTGTAATTATTAATTATTTGCATGCAATTAAAAAATATTTTTAATGATGCTAAAGAAGTATAACTTCTCACGCGCGTACATAAGTTACACGCATCCATTTTTTTTTTGATGAAGTAAGGAATTCTTTATTATCGTTTGGACAAACGTAGAAAACTAATTATGGGATAGAAAGTAAAAAAGGACAAGGTAATTTTCTGTCAGTTTTTTTTGGGAAATAGTTTTTGAGATTTGCAAAACTTCCATATGAAAATTTCTTGACATTTGACGCTTTTCTTCGAAATCGAAATAGTCAACAATTCGAATTCAATTTGTTTGTTTGATGTTTCGACGAGATTATCGCTACGATTCTCTCGATCGTAGATATCGACGGCGCCATGAAACAGCATATTTTCGTTGGTATTAAACTCAAAATCACTTATGTTATCTGGAATAAGTAGTATATCAATAATCATTTTGATAAAATTGCATTTTGTTTGTGAATATGTTGAAAAATTGATCATAATTATGTTTTGCACTTTTCACGTTAAAGGATGTACCTAATTAAATTATAATTGAAAATAATTGAGGAGCTCGATGGCATGGTGGTTAGCGCGTTAGGCTGCGATCGTTGAAGTAATCAGCTTTCGCGGAGGTCGGTCATAGGATGGGTGACCAAAAATCTTCTATCTCGAGTTCCTCTGTGCTTCGGAAGGCACGGTAAGCCATTGGTCTCGGCTGCATCTGCAGTCGTTAGCACCCGCCAATCCGCACTGGGCCCGCGTGGTGGGTCATGGCTATAGATGTAAAACAACGGATTTAAAACGTTTTAAACCCCAAATAAACCGTTTTAAACGGTTGAAAACTGGCATACAAAAATAAAAGAACTATGTTTTTTACACTTCATTATGGTAAATTTTTGGTCACCTGACGTCATGTTTCGTTTTTTGCGTTGGCAACGTTTGCGTCGAGTAAGAGAGTAGAAAATATAACCTTCACAATATTTTTTCAAGCCCCAAGCTCAAGGGATGATAACTCAAAGACTGCATATACAATATTAATAAAATTCATTCGCTAAAGTTCACGAAAACACAAGGAAATGTGTTGATTTATTATCTATCAGTGACAATCCGAGATTTATCAACGACATTATCAATAGCCTATCTTTAAATCGTTATAGATTAAAACGTGAACTGTCCTCAAAGGAAAATGGTTAGAGCAAATTGTTCCCATTCCATGTACTAACGCATGGTTTGAGAAACACACAAAATTTTTGGGTTTCTACCCAGAAGTTTCATCACCACTTTGAGTCGGTTAAGAATTGGTCACAGCCGAATTCCGTCCCACTTACATCGTCTAAAGCTCAAGATGCTAGTTGTCCTCACTGTGGTTCACTTTTTTGTGATATTGACCATATTTTATTTGTATGCCCAAAATTTTCAATACAGCGTTTATTACTGATAACAGAATTTACTGAAATTTTTGAAAATGATATTCCGAACTCTGCCCAAAAATTGCTTACCAATATTAAGACGTATTATCATATTTATAATTTTATTGTAAATACTTTTGGTCAAATTTAAATTGTTTTTTTTTGTTGTTGTTAATTTGTGGAGTATATATATTTTTCTTTTGTTATTTCTCATTGTATTCTTCTGGATGTTATGTTTTTGTTTTATCTGTAAATTTATAACAAAATTTGTAATATTACCTATGTAAGTCTCTAGAATACCATTGTAGTAATTCTTTTTTGCTGATGGCCCAGGAGCCAAAGCTGAATAAATTAAAAAAAAAAACGTGAACTGTCCAAAGCAGCTGTATTAAAATCAATAGAATATTTGGCAAGTTTTAGAGATCCGTACGCAATAGGAGACAATACAACCCTATTAAAAAAACGACTGCAGTGAAACTTCTTTAGCTCCATCTGTATGTATCATCATCATTATCATCATCAGCCTATTAATGTCCCCACTGCTGGGGCACAGGCCTTCCCTATGGATAGAATAGGGAGATTGGGCCTTGACCCACCACGCGGGCCCAGTGCGGATTGGTGGGTGCTAACGACTGCAGATGCAGCCGGGACCAACGGCTTTACGTGCCTTCCGAAGCACGGAGGAGCTCCAGATAGTAAGTTTTGGTCACCCATCCAATGACCGACCACTGCGAAAGTTGCTTAAGTTCAACGATCGCAGCCGAACGCGCTAGCCACATTTTTTTTTTTTTTTATAATGCAGTTATAAAATCTTTTTACAGACGACGGCGCCTTTCAGAGGCACACCGCCGAACGGACCTCACACCTGGCTCCTGCAAGTCTTACGGACCCCCCAGTGGCTACCCACCGAGGACCCCGCAACTCTTACGGGCGCTTTACAGCATAATATCCGCTAAAAAAGTCTTGCGAATACCTCTACACTGCTTAGTGCGGAGCCGCAGGGTCCCCGTTAGGGATTCTACCACGGCTCCGCCCCCAGCAGCTTCCCGGCCTCGCCGGGACTCCACGGCAGGGGTCTCCCGCGGTATTACGGGGTCCCAGCAGACGTGCGCAGGTAGGCCCGCGCGTGGGGGCTGGGTACGCGGCCTAGTGCCCACCGTACCGCCCCCTATCCGCTGCGGAGGGGACTCCTGGGCGTGTCCGTCCAAGAACCCTCCGCCGCCCCCCCTTTGTAGGACAGAACTACGAGTGGGGGGACGCGCTAGCCACCTGCGCCATCGAGCTCCTCTGTATGTATGTCTGTATGTATATATGTGTGCGTGTGTACAATATATACATGTATGTACACTCGCGAAAAGACCCGCTCTGTCACCCATAATGCCATAATCGTAGTAAAAATTCATTCATAGACATGTAATTATCGCTGTCTTACTTTTTCGTATAGCGCTGTCGCGATCACGGTGCGGATGACAAATTGCAACTAAAACAAATGCAATTCAATTCATCATTCAATCAATGAAATGCTCTCTGTCTTACTTTTGTGCGGCGGCCCAGATTGGCGCGTCCGACGCGAAGGCGGGGCGTAGTAAAAACTACTGTAGAAAACCGTTCAAAGCATTTTGTTCGCCAAATGACAGAGCGCAAAATTCCGCGATAGTACATATACATATTTCATTTACTAGCTATAAGAGAAAGAGAGAAAGAAAATGTGCGCGCGCACAGCTTTCTCTTGCTTATATTCCCCACTCAACTCTCGTTCGCCTCGCCCGACCACACTTTTCGTAACGCACGTACAACCCAAGTAGTAAAAGAAGACACAGATCTATCACTATGCGTGGCCTTGACTCCAAATGTTAATTTGACTTTAAATGTACTTTGGATAACAGAATTAAAGAATTGTATTATTTCTTATTTTTCGTGGTTTTGTTTTTATGAAGTAAAGCAAAAATTAAAATAACTTTAAAGAATAGTTTTACTAGAAAAAAATCCACGCGGACCAGGCAGCGGACGGGACTCGAACCCGCACCCTTCGCAATCCGGGCGAATGCACTGACCAATTATGCTACCACAGCCCTGATGGCCGCGTCGAAATTTTCCTAGCCTTAAGCTGCAAGGCAGCGCCATCTCTTCGTATTGTAGGTAACCCACAATGTCAAATGAATACTTTTTCAATTTTTAAACATTTGAAAGAAGAAATAGCAACAACAATAAAACAACTTTGTTAAAAAAAATCCAATCAGTGTATTTGGTTTGGAACTTTATATAAACCGTATAGTTATGCGTACGATTTCTGTCCCAGAATTAGACAAAAACAGTATGGATACGATTTTAATCTTACATCTGGCAACACTGATGTCTGCGTAACTTCTTGACCTCAAGAAGATACACACCGGCGATATGATACATCAATGCTACAAAAGTCTTTATTGATGATGCGACGTCCCCGGAGATATAAGTATAAGGAGATACTACTGAGTTATTAAATAAATAAATAAATATTTCCAACACACACTAATAGGGTATTTGACAGTGTTAAAATAAAGTGCCAATTGTTAGCATCTGTGTTTAAAATGAATATTGGCAGGGGTTTTTACTATTTTTACAAAAAAAATATTCATAATTTTACTAAAAACTAACGAAAAAGATAATAGTTTTAGATTCTGTCACGTGACCCAAAACGCTCGGGATTGACGCCTTGAGCCTAAAATGACGTCACACGCATGTAAATTTCCAGTTAAAGTGACATTACATTGTATCGTTTGACGTTTTAATAACAGTCGTGTGACGTCACACACTAGTAAGACGCCATATTGTCCAGGGAAACGTTTTCGCGGCAACGTGAAAATGGAGTTTTTGATTTGGTTATTTTTACTGAAATACACAACAGAATGATGAATATCCACTTTTTACGGACTCCATAAACATTAGTCAATAACGTGAGATCGTTTTCTAAAACTTGTCAAACACCCTATTAGCCTAGCCCCAAAGTAAGCACTGTAAGGCTTGTGTCATGGGATACTAGGGTAACGGATAGAATACATATACAGTACTTAAACAAGTATATTTATATAGAAATACATATTAAACATCCATGACAGGAGTACAAATGCTCGTATTCATCACACAAACGTCTACTCCCCACCGGGATTCGAACCCGGGACCTCTCGAGTCGGCGACACCATGAAACCCGGCATACAATCCACTCTGCCACGGAGGTCGTCAATAATAGAAATTGGTTACTCCCTGTGGCATATCACTAGTCTTTACCCCAAGGAATAATCTTAGACTAGTTACGCCGTCTTTTGTCCATGTCACACAAATGCCATTTGTCATTCAATAGACGGAGACAAAACATGAGTAAGTAATCCAAGCGTAGTCTTCGTTTAGTAATAAGTTGGTACGTGCTTATGTATTAATAAGAACTAAAACATGCGATTTGCAACAATAAATTGAAAATATAGGTACGCATTTGTGTAAACTCCTATGTGTTAGAAGGCTTTATATATTACACTAGCTGACCCAGCGAACTTCGTATCGCCATAAAAATATGGGTGGTAGAGGGGTGAAAATTAAGGGTTGTTTTGTGTTTTTAATATAACGATACACATTTAACGTACTTTTTTTTTCTTCAGACGATTTAATAATTATTTTGAACACAAAATCGGTTATTGTGATTAAACCACGATAGCTAGATATATGTTCTCGCAGACTTTTTTGTAGGTCTTAATGGGATCTACAAACCCGTAGTACATCATTTTGTTCTATTGCCAATAGTTTTTGCAGCGCACGTAAAAATAGGTTTTCGATTTTACACCTTGTGTTAAAAAATAGCAATTTTATTACGGATCCCTAATTTTAAAAAAAAATATAGCCTATAGCCTTCCTCGATAAATGGACTACCCAACACTGAAAGAATCATTCAAATCGGACCAGTAGTTCCAGAGATTAGCGCGTTCAAACAAACAAACAAACTCTGCAGCTTTATAATATTATAGTAAGATTTTTTAATGAAGAAACATAAAACTGTTTATTTTGATCCAAATCGCAATAAGAGGAGAAAATATGTTGACATCAAACCTATCGCTAAAACTGCTTTTGCTAGACACCAGTATAAAACGCAATCATCATTGATGTATAATAAGGTTAAAAGACTGATAAACATTTGTTCATTTCATTAACATCATGTGAGCTAAAGAAACAACTGAATGGCTTTTGAATCTTATACATGACGAGGTGGAAAAACTTATGCAGGTGGACGTATGATATTAGGCTTAATAGTGGGTTTTTACATAATTTTTGTTATTTATTATTTAGTTTTCTTTTATTACTTAGTTTGAGATATGTATGTATATTTTTTTGTAAACAAGTTGTGATGTACAGAGAGAGCGAGGCATTCTAATACAGGTATATATATGTTTACCTAAAAGAGTGCTTCAATAACTTTTATGTTAATTTAATTTGGTTACAGAATAAATATTTTCATTTTCATTTATTTTATACTAATATCAATGTTTCTATTGAAAGCTATTCGCGAGATTTAACCTACCTGCTTCACGAGTGGGGTTGTCCAATGCCGACCCATTTTGCTCACTCAATAATAAATAATGTTGTTAACAATGGTACGTTCACATTTTTAGATCACATACACAACGGAGCCGACCTTACTATCGCCGCGTGAACGACGAATGGCCGCAGATAGATATATTACAACACAAGATGAATTATTATTGTTATCATAATTATATCTGTTATTATTATTACTTCACCATAAACTTTTTTAGTATTTAGATTTTAGAAATCAAATTATTTATAGAAATATTATATTACAATACATTAAATTTATTTATTTATACGAAGATAATACATTAAAATAACACAAACTTAAAAACTACATAGCTTAACCTACTTACCTACTACATAAATAAATAATTTACAAAATAAAAAACATATCACCCCCAGCGCCGCCATCAGAAATGGTGCCCAAAAGGCTGGCAGCATTGCCGCGTTGGATGGCAAGGCTGATCCGTTGACCAAGATAGCTGCCAGCCTTTTGATCACCAGGCACTTCGGTGAGCCTCTTTGACAATTCCTTAGAAAGGGAACGAGCGCTTTGACCCCATGGGCCCATAGTCTCAACACCAAACGGCACAAATATGTAGTTCTCAATAAGAGCTGAATATTTGCGCCGCTTGGAGCACTCGGCAGAGGCCGCCGCTGCGCCTGCAGCTAGGGAGGTACTACCTGTATGGCACGGAGCAAGCGTATCCACGCAGGTTGCATCCCATACAAGAGAACGACCCTGCTTCCAAGGTATGAGCGTCATCCCATCAGGTCTCTTGCCATCGTCGCGGAAGATGCCATTAGGCTCAAGGACCGCTGGTACGTTGACAGCGACAAGAGCTCTGCGGATGACGTCATTGATGCAGGCGTGGCGGGAGACTCGGCCAGCACTCATTTGGCAACAGAGGCCATGGTGTCCCAGCTCACCCACGCGAGTACCACAACGACAGCGATGGGGATGATTAGTCTTGACGCCAAGTCTAAGCGATATCGCAAGAGACAGAGTGTTCTTGTCAAGCAAAGTCCCGATATTGGCTAAAGGTAAAGCTTGCAGCCAGTAACCAGACTCTGCCTGAAATACCGCTAGAAGGCGAGCACGCTCTGTGGCGCTTTCAGAGGATGCTTAAAGATCACTCTGAATACGCAAACAGAGCGCTCGTCCCACTGCCTCTGAGACGATAAAGAGGATGGTGGATCCACTCCCGGGCATACCCTAGACCATGCGCTTCTGGCCTCTGCAAGGTGAGCCAACTCCACTACGCCCAAAGAGGGGCATAATATTGTATTATAGAGTTCGGCTGTACCGTATGCAGAAGACAGAAAAGCGGGAAGGGCCATATGGTAAATATGGCGGGTACCTAGACCTCCGAAACGAACAGGGAGAGAGGCCTGGGGGTCTACTCCCTTTCTACGAAACGAACTTTCGATAACGAAGTTCAAACGAAATTTAATTTCGCCAATTTAAGATTATACTCAATTTGAACGATAAACTATCAAATTGAAGCAGGTTTAGAAAATATACACCTCAATCTATATTCCGACGACGAATATCATTATAATTAAAAACGAATCAGAAACATAATAAGAAAATTGCGAAGTTTCGATCGAAATTTCGTTTTTCGTTGAATTAGAGTAGGGCTCCTGCTTCCAGGCATTATCGGTAAATGAGCAATTTAGAATTTTGGAGAGTGTCTCTTTGAGTGAACTGTCAATATGAAATGAAATGAAATGAAATGTCATTTATTCAGTCTAGGCTGTTACAAGCACTTGTGAAGGTCAAGAAACTACGCCATCGGTTCGCAAAACTACGGCGGGAGACCTTGTACTGAGAAGAACCGGCAAGAAACTCAGCAAGGGCTGTTTTTTTCTCCCTGTATTGTTATATACAGTGTCGTCAAGTTGAAAAATTACTTCAGAAATACGTCTGAAGTCACTTTCCATTACATCATCTAGAATATAAATATATAGTTACAATTAATTTTATAGTTAACATTTTAAGTAGTATATAGGAAGCGGCATTAGATTGGTACAATATTACTGTTATGAAAAATGACTAATACCCATTTTATATCAAATTATAAGAAACACTATGTCCATGCATTACGATCATTTAGATAATCATTAACTTTATAATAGCCCTTATTCATAAGAGTATTTTTGATCTGAGATTTAAATTTAGTCAGTGGAAGCTCAATCAGATCTTGGGGAACTTTGTTAAACAATGCAATACTACAACCCAGAAATGAACCTCTTGATTTTTGGAGTCTGAAACATGGAACGGCAAGCTTGTTCTTAAATCTCGTGTTAAAGTTATGGGTTTGACTTTTTTTTGCAAATTCATCATAGTTTTTTCTTACATATATGAAATTTTCATAAATGTATTGCGACGCCAGTATTAAAATATTAATTTCTTTAAATTTTTCTCTAAGGGATTCTCTTGCCTTTAAATTGTATATGGCGCGAACAGCTCTCTTTTGCAGTATGAAAATACTTTCGATATTAGCGGCTGAACCCCACAACAAAAGGCCATATGACATAACACTGTGAAAGTAACCAAAGTAAACTAATCTTGCCGTTTCCACATCAGTTAAGAGTCTTATCTTTTTAACAGCGAAAGCTGCAGAGCTCAATCTACTTGACAAGGCATCAATATGAGGATCCCATTGCAGACGAGAGTCTAAAGTAATACCCAGAAACTTTGTAAAATCCACTAACTCTACAGGCTGGTCATTTATTTTTATACTAGTATTAACCTGCCTCACATTAGGTAGAGTAAACTTAACGCATTTTGTTTTACTGGAGTTAAGTTTTAAATTATTTACCGTAAACCAGTGAAGGACTTCAGAGAGAGCACAATTTACTTCGTCATAACAATCATTTCCTCTTCTAGCTTTAAACAATAAAGAGGTGTCATCAGCAAATAGTACTGTCTCACACAAATCTCTTGTAAAGTGAGGAAGGTCATTGATATAAATAAGGAAAAGCAATGGGCCCAATATTGAACCCTGGGGCACGCCCATAGAAATGGGTGCTCCTGTAGACTCAGTTTCATTTATAACTACTTTCTGAATCCTAGCAGAAAGATAAGACTGTATCAGACTTAGTGAAATATTTGATACACCATAATGCTTCATTTTATTTAACAATGTTTCATGGCTAACGCAGTCAAACGCCTTTGATAAGTCGCAAAAAATGCCAATAGCATCGTGCTTACTCTCCCATATATCAAAGATGTGTTTGAGAAGTGCAGTTCCAGCATCAGTAGTACTTTTGCCTCTAGTGAAACCAAACTGTTTTAAATGAAATAGCTTATTTATAGAAAAGTGTGCTAGTAATTGGTTATAAATTATTTTCTCAAATACTTTACCAAGCGCTGGTAATACAGATATAGGCCTAAAATTGCTGGGATCTGATTTGTCACCAGCCTTAAAGAGAGGGATAACTTTAGCACATTTCATTAGATCTGGAAACACTCCCTCATCAATACATTTGTTAAATATAATGGCCAGTTGTGGCGCAATAACAGTGATAATCGGTTTTATTATATATGTTGATATTCCCCAATAATCCTCTGTCTTTTTAATTTTAATTGAGTTAAAAGTTTTTATAATACAGTCACTACTGATATGTCTAAAATGAAAATCATTACTGCACTTATCAACACTTGACTCAAGGAGGGTCATTGCTAACCTAGAACAAGAATTAAGATTTCTAGTTGTTTCAAATGGTGCACTAGAAAAGAAATTTTCAAAAGTGTTTGCAACGGCATCATCTGTCCTAATAATCTTATTGTCTATTTTTAAAGAATATGTGTGTTCATTAAATTTATTTCTTCCAGTTTCATTATTAATTATATTCCAAGTTGTTTTTATTTTATTATCGGAAAGACTAATTTTTTTTGATAAAAACTTAGCTTTTGCTATGGCACACACCTTTTTAAAAGTTTTTGAATAGTTTTTGACATATTCTATAAACTTAGGATCAGATGAGGTTGCCTTGAGAGCATATAATTGATACAACTTATTTCTACTTTTGTAAATACCCGGTGTGGCCCAATCACTCAATTTCTTTTTAAAGCTATGGCATTTAATAACTTTGCCTTTGAATATTATATTAAATTCATCTTTAATTAAATTGAATAAATCTTCATACAAAATATTATTATTACTACAAACTGGTAAGTACGATATTTTATTGAAATTTATTTATACCCGTTTGTGTAATTGGTCTACAAGTTAGGTCATGTTTAGGTGAAGCATGATGGTGTTCAATAGAGGCTAATTGTCCGCTATGATCAGAATTAATACAATTTATTATTGATTTTCTATTACAAAAAATATTATCTAAACAGGTCGCTGATGCATGTGTGATGCGGGTAGGCTCAAAGAAGGTATGCTCCAAGTTATATGATTTAAATAAGTTTAGAAACCTACTCACTAATGGACACTTAACTAAAATGTTTATATTAAAATCACCACACACAACAACCACTTTATTACATCTACATACTATATTGAAAGCATCTTCCATAGCAGACTCAAATTGAGTGTAATTCCCAGATGGGGGCCGATATACACATATTATGATCATTTCTTCAAGTTCCACACAAGATATTTCTATATTACGTTCAACTGAAAGTGTAACAATATCTGTACGTTCTTTGTATTTAAGATTGTTCTGTAAGATTATGAGAGAGCCTCCCCTGATAGCCGATTTCCTACAAAAACTACTAACAACTGTATAATTATCTAAGCCTGTAACTAATTCATAATCTCTGAGCCAGTGCTCTGTAATACATAAAATGTTTATATTCATTGTATTTAAAAATAAGCATAGTTCTAAGTCTTTACCAGAAAAGCCTTGTATATTTTGGTGAACAATATTTAGTTATTTAGACTTTTCCTTGGTCATGATATAGCTAGAGAGCTCCTCTGTTGTCTTACGAACTAATTTAAATTACAATTAATGTCAGTATTTGGAACAAATTCCAAAGTCTGATCCACATAATTATGCTGCTCAATAGAAGCAGTAGTGTTAGCCAAGTTTTTGGCTATGTGTGTAAAATAAAATAATAGCGAAGAAGCTATTTGTTTCTTATGGTAATATGAAAGAT